GCTGAACTGATGAAGGAGGCCCACAGTGCAAGCAGACAACAGTCACAGGGGGAAGGGGTTCAGTTAGTTATGTGCAGCAACAAACCTTCAGACCCTGAGACTTCCTGATGGAAACAGCCTTAAGAGATAACTTGATGGCCTCACCAGGGTTCTTGGCTCACTTGCCAGAGCTAAACATCACATACTTTACTCACATAAATCTTACAGGCATTTTGCCCTGAATGCCAGCAGTGAAGATTCACCTCCTCAGGCAGAGCAGGGTGTCCCAGACCCATAAAAGGACACGGGAGAGAAGTCTGCTGATGGCTGCCACTGCCAATACCACTGTCAAAGGATGCACCAGGGCTCAGCAGCTGCAGTGTACATTCTTGCACTGATAAAACAGATGTGTCTAAGTGCTTATGTCTCTGACTTGTTCCAGTACTGGGATCATGATTAGCACAGCACAGCAATATGAGACTAATGACTGCCTGAAGGCTACAAGCCCTGGCACTGCCTCAGATTCCTGGAGCTCTGATACAATGCAAGCTCCACTGTTAATTGAGCCAAGGGAAGATGGAAATAGTCAACAAGATCAGTGAGACTCAAGGGGAACGTCCTTAAAATAGTCTCTATTTTTGGTTGAGTTCCAGTCTTCTGAATTTCCTTCAATCCCTCTCCTACCCTGCCCGACCTTAAGGCAAGTCAGAGACTAGATGTAGGTGAATGATGTCTGGCCATGGCCAACAGATGTGCCTGACTGGTGCTGCCTGCTGCATCACTTCCTGACAGCCAACAAAACTTGGGCTGTAGCATCATGCAAAGTTGTGCCCATCAGTACAGCCCCAGCAGCTTTTGATGAGCACTTTCCTACTCCTCACCTGGTTCTGCAACTCTGCTACTTGACGACTGCAGTGCCCGTGAGACTTCTCCTGTGAAGAAAATGCAAGGTTTTCTTTTTAGTCTCCAGTCTGGTCAGGGACATGGCCTCTATTCAACTTCTATTAGGTCTATGCTGGGGAGGGGGGGGCTGCTGCCACCTGGATTTGCCATCATTCTTCTGTATTACAAGACCCTCTCCCCACCAGGTAAGAGTCTGTTCTCACCTGTTTAGAAGCGGGCATCTTGTGCAGGTCAGACTTGGAGAGAGAAAATCCACATGCATCTGGCACTGACTGACCACTACAGTATCTCTTCAGTCTCCTCCGTTCACATTCCACCTGCATGTTGAATAGGAGAAAGGGTCACAGAAACCTGCCAGCAAACCAGGAGCAAAAGGACCTCTTGGAGATCCTGGAAAGGAGATGTCTGCTCAGAGACCATTAATTGCACCAGAGAACACTGGGGACAAAGAGCACTTGAAGTAGACTGTGCAAGAGGAAACAGTTTCTGATACAAGTGTGTGTGTATGAGGACACTGGGCCAGGAAGGGTGGTACCAGAGTGAATGTGCATTCGTGAAGGCAATGGGGTGCCAGAAGAGAGAGAAAATACAAAAGTGTGTGGCCACAGGGGAGAGTGGGAGGCACAAGGGAAACAAGCAGAGGACTCCAAAGTGCTGGCTGTAGAAGTGTGTTGTGTTCCAGAGAACCAGGAGCCTTTGCAGAGGCAGTGAAAGCCTGTTTTACCCGCTCAAGAGTCCTCCTGAACTCAGCATTGAGCTGCTTCAGCTCCATCTTCTCAAGTTCCAGCCTTGCAACTGCTTGCTGCAGACGTTCCAGCCGCTGCAAGAGGAGTCTCCTCTCCGAGAGCCAGGAGAGCTGCTCCCCTTCTGCAGCAGCCTGCTGAGTAGACAGAGAGGAGATTATGTGAGCTGGTGCCACGTAAAGGTTAGAAGGGCCAGAATCAACATACTGGGGAGTGCCTAGACTCAGGAATGGACAGTGCCAAGACCCTTCTTCTCCTGGTCCATAGGCCAAAAAAATAGTAGCTGCTGTTCAGCCACCATCATAAAATTCTACTAAGTTGAGTACATTACTCTGGTCAACTCTTCCCCTTCTGTTCCATGCTAAACCCCAACCACATGTTGGCTAAGGTTGCCTAGATTGGAGAGAACCAACTACCCACCCCCAACTTTTGGACTTGAACAGCAAGCTCTGTAGTTCTTTCAATAGTTCTGGGCTTGACAAAAAAACATTCTAGTGGGTGAATGGTCTCTGGCAGTGCTGTGGAGACAGGCGAGCCTGCTGCCTGCAGTCATGGCTTTTTTTAGGCAAGCAGGTATATATATATATGGGAATATACATCCCCTTATTTTTATGGGAAGCATCTTTAGAATCCTTTACAGACGTTGGAGTTGACTGGTGATCAGAGTGCCTACCTGCAGATGAAACCGGTCCCTGTCCCTCTCTGAGACCATACTCTGCAGGATGGTTATTTCCTCCCTCAGAGTCCCATTGGCCACCTCACTCTTGGTAAGGGCAAGAGTCAGTGCTTGTGCTTTCTCTTTCCATTCAATTTCTCCACTTTCAGTCTGCTTCAAAATAGCAATCACATGCTCCAATTCTTCTGCCTTTGCTTTCCGCTCCTCTTCCAGTTGATGGGTTAACTCCTTCTGCCTTTTCAAGAGATGGTCTCTCTCCTGGAGAACTTTTCTCTTCTCTGCTTCCTCTTCCTCCCATTTTTGGAGTTTCTGGATTTGTTGCTGTAGAGTCTCCCCTCCATCTTTCCACCACGAAGCTGATGTTAATTGTTTCAGGAGTTCACTCTTCCTCCTAAACTCTTGTTCTCTCCCTGTTAGAGTCTTCTCCAAATACCTGACTCTGTCCCTCTGGTACTTGATCTCTTCATCCTTCTTTGTCAGAGTCTGCTTAACATGCTGGAGATCTTCCCGAAGAGCTCTTATTTCCTCTTCCAACTCTTTTTGCTCACCTTGAGTCTTGGTCTCTCGTTCTGTCCCAGGCAAAGTTTCTTCCAGGAGCGTCTCTTGCCCTCTGTGATGTTCAACCTCTTCATTTTTCTTGGGTACCCTAAGCTGGAGATTCTGCAAGGTCTTCAGTTCTTCCTCTTGGCATTGGAGTTTTTGCACAAGAGCTTCAATTTCTTCATTTCTCTTCCTCACCTCTTCCTCTAGCAGATTCACTTGCTTCTGGCATGATGTTAGAGCTACTTTCATGCTTTCTTCATGAAGCTGGAATATGCTCATTTGCTCTGTCTCCCTGAGGAACTCCAAATGATTCTTCTTCACTATTTGGCTTGTTTTGGCCTGATCCTGCTGCAGACTCATGCCCTGCTTGTCTTCTAACTCCTGCTCTCGAAGGTCCTGGACAGGCTCTTGCAAAGACACTATCTCTTGATCTCTAGCTTCTAGAGAAGATTCTGAATTTTGCAGTATGGCTTCAGTCTGCATCCCTGCCACCTCCTTTTGCTGAGGCTTAGAAATAGCCTCCCCCAGAACCTCTACCTCTTTTTCCTTCCGACTCTGTTTTTTTGCTTGAAAATTTGTTTGCTCAGCTTCATGCTCTTCCTCCTTTTCCTTGCTTGACTTAAATTGCTTTCCAAGGGATAACATTTCTTGCTCTTGTTCCTTTAATGCCCCTTGAAGATGCTGCAGAATTTCTTTCTGCTGTTCAGAGTCTTGTTTTTGGGAGGTCTCAAGCACTTCCTTCTGAGATTCAGTCACTAAATCCTTCTCATTCAGTAGTGCCTTAGAGTATCTGAAGTCTTTATGTAAGACATTCACCCATTCTTCTGTTTTTTCCTCATTGTTCCATGTTTGTTGCTTTTGGGTGTCTAGGAGTGTGTCCTTTTCTTTTAAGGCTTCTAAGGTCTGCTCCAGTTGGTCATGGACAGTCCTTAACTGCATTCCCTTTACTTCTTCAGCATCCTGGAGATGCTTTTTTTGTGATTCAAGCTCTTGATCTTTTTCAGAGAAAGAATGTCTCATCTTTTCTACTTTATCATTAAGCTCTTGCAGATGCCCCTCTTGCTGCTCCTTGTACTGCTGGAGGAGTCTTAGCTGATCCCTTTGAGAATCACACTCACTCTCTCTGTCCTTAAGAACAGCCCTCAGGTGTTCAAGGCTTGCGTGCAGAGATTTCACCTGTTCTCTTTCCTTCTCCAGCTCCTGGATCTGCTGAGTCAGAGACATAAGCTCTATGTCTTTCTCCTTCAAGTTTTCTTTCATACAATCAAGATCCACAAGCAGATTTCTCATTTGTGATGTATGGTGGTTTTCTAGACCCATTATTTTCCCCTCTTGGTACTTGATCTCCTGGTCTCTCTCCTCCAGCTCTCTGCTCATCTTGCTGACAGCAGTCCTCTGCAATTCTTGTTGCTTCTCCAGCTCCTGTATCTGCTCTTGCTGGGACCTGATCTCCTGATCTCTCTGCTCCAGCTCTCTGCTCATCTTGCTGACAGCAGTCCTCTGCAATTCTCGTTGCTTCTCCAGCTCCTGTATCTGCTCTTGCTGGGACCTGATCTCCTGATCTCTCTGCTCCAGCTCTCTGCTCATCCTGCTGACAGCAGTCCCCTGCAATTCTCGTTGCTTCTCCAGCTCCTGTATCTGCTCTTGCTGGGACCTGATCTCCTGGTCTCTCTCCTCCAGCTCTCTGCTCATCTTGCTGACAGCAGTTCTTTGTTTTTCTCGCTGCTTTTCCAGCTCCTGTATATGTTCTTGCTGGGATTCTGTCTTCTGTTTTTTCTCTGTTATGTCCTTAATAACCTGATCAAGAGTAGTTTTATGCATTTCTTTCTCCTCTTCCAGCATTCTCATCTGTTCTTGGTATAACTTCATTTGTCCCTCCCTCTCTGACAGGATGGCAGTCATCTGAGTGAGATTCTCCTGCAAAGCTTTTGCCTCTGCTGCCTCTTTCTGGAGCATCTGGATTTTCTCCTGCAGCATTTCCACTTCCTCATTTTTCATTTTTAAGATAGACAGTGTAGCTTGGAGTTCTTGTTCAAGGGAGTGAGTCATATCTGTTGCTGTATTTGCTTGGGTTTCAGAGGCTGTGACTGATTGCTGAAGAAGTTTTATCTCCTGTACCAGTTTTTCTTTAACAGCTCGCAGTCCATCTCGTTCACGCTGAAAAAAAAAAAGAGGAAAAGACTCAATAATTCCAACTACATGTGTTTGGTTTTCATACTAGATTTGAACTCCTGCTCCAGTAGCAGTCAAGTGCTCAAAGTCTGAGCTTTTAGTAGAAAACTGGAACTATTTGGTTTCTCTTTTGATATAGATTTCCTACTGTTACTCAAAAAGGATTTGAAAACTGTACTGTATTTATCAAACTTTTGGAGTCACTGTAAATGCAGAAGTGGGAAGATATTCATCCTGTAAGAACAGCTGCACTGGCTCAAGTGTCTAGGCTAGTATCCTGTATGTAACACTGCCTGTAAGTGCACAGCAGGGAAGAAAGCCTAGGAGTGGAGTAGACTTACATGACACCTTCCCAACCGCAGCACCATTCCAGCTTCTGAGAATTTGCACAGTCTCCTCCTGAGCACATACAGACCTGCTGTATTTAAAACACCCTTTATCAAGGAGTTCAACAGCTCTGCTCTGCTGCAAGTATACCACCTCCTGTCATTTGCCTGCAGCATGGCTCTCACTTCATCAGATGGCTCTTTTCATCTCTTGGAAAAGAGAGTGAACAACGACCACCTGCTCTCTCCTGCCTCTTGGGATCTTGTAGACATTTCCTGCACCACTCCCTAGGCTGCATCTTTCCCAGCTCCCTTAGCCAGACTCATCTTTCTCTGTGCCCTTCTCTGAACCTCTTCTAGCGCCAGTGTGTTCTTTTAGGGAGAAGCTGCCAGAACTGCAGCCAGGATTTAAAGTCCAGGCAGGCTAACCATGATTTAAGCAGTGACATGATGATGGTCTCTCTATTAGGAAGGAGAGAGAGAGCATTTCATTTACCTGGGTTTTGGTTTTTGTTTTTGTCCCCCTGTGGTGCAGATGTTTCATGGTACCATCCCCTAGAGCCCCACTGTGTCCTCTTGAATAGTCACATCACAGTCTGTCAACCTATGTTTCACATCAGGACTAGTATTCCCCCTGCAGGCATACGTATCTGGGTGAGCACTTTTGTTTCTCAAATTTCTCTATTTTTTTCCCCACTGCCTGCTCTCAGATAGGCAATGTTGAACAGCTTTCTATTGTTAGCAGACTGTCTTCTCACCCCTTTTTCCAGATCCAGAGATTTAAAATCTAAATATGGATTTGGACACAACTAATTGCCCAAACCATGCAATGTAAACACAGACAAGTTTGAAAATTACTTTGACTTAAGCTTCAAGGGCAGAAATCTTCAGAATTGAGGAAAATATACACCCTTAATTGTAACTTAATTGTAATTCAGGAGAATGCAATTGGAAAAGTTAAACCAAAAACCAATCACTGGTATAAATAATACTGTTCTGCTATTGTAGTGGTCTCTCCACATTGTCTGAGGTATCAGTCATCTTAATGATCTCTCCTTTCTGGACTGTCTTCTCTTACTCAAGGTGACAACCCTGCTAATTCAGTTACATGACATGACAGGAAAACAAAAGTCTGAGAAACAAAGAATGATGAGTGGAAGGAAGAGGGAAATGAGGGAAACGTGGTCAGCATTTGTATACTCTGTCTCGTCTCAGATTTGGACTGAACCTGTACAACACCACTTTAAAAGCAGCTCTCTGCTGGAAAAAGTTAATCCTTAGAATCATTAACAGGAGGCCAAAAATTTACAGCATCTGCCAGCCTCACCAGGGCTTCCCTTCTTTGCACCTCAGTGCTCTCAAGTTTCCTTTCCAAAGATGCCACTTCTTGATGTAGAGTCATAGCCTCCTCCTTCAGAGCAGCAGCCTCTTCCTGCAAGGCAGCTTGTAGAGAGCTCTTCTTGTGTTCTGCCATCTGTGTCTCTGCAGGAGTAAAGGTGAAGGAGAAGGTGAAAAGCAAAGGAAAACAAAACTGATTTGCACTCTACAGGGAGAACAATTTTCTTGTCTGCTTGTATTTTCCAGGCCCCAAGCCCACAAGGAGTTTCAAAGCTGATACAACCAAAAGAAACTTCCAGGCAGGGAAAAAAACAAAAGAAACATGAAAGTGGCAAGCTTCAGAATATGAAAATGTGTTTGCTCTTCTGCTGGTTGAAAGGCCAGGGCTAAGGGCATGGCAGTACATCACTTGCTTTATATATTGTTTCATTACTGTGATTGTTGTTACTGTAACTTCTTTTGCATTGTTGTATTACATTTCTCTCTCTTCCCCCTCCCATTTGGGGGACAGTGAGGGAGCAGCCACGTGGTGCTCAGCTCCTGGCTGGGTCTAAACCATGCCAAGCAAGGACAACTGAGCATCACACCAGTACTGAGACCTGAAGCAAGGACTACAGGCAGGAACAAAAACTAAACCAACAGACTTAACTAATTGACACTATAATAAATATATTCAAATAATTGAACTAATGAGGGAAAGAACTGACTATTAAGACAATCAGGATCCATCCAACAGAGGAATTTCAAGTATGTTACATATGATAACAGCTTATATAAGTATTAAAAACTACAGATATTCCAGAAAAAGTGATGATATAAGGACTGGAAAACTCTCCTGTCCAGAGCCTGAAGGATCAGCAGTTCCATCCCAGAGAAGGGAACATGGAGAAATACTGAACAGGTAAAGGCACTACATGAGCAGGCAACACTGTGGAGGAGGCAATGAAGAATGCCCACACTTCCCTGTTTCTGTGGCTTGAGACAAGGAAAACAAGACAATGAGATGTAAAAGTAATTCTGATGTGGACAGTGGGAAAACAATGACAGAGAAAGCAGCAGGGATGCCTGTCCAGCTATGATATAGAAGGGCCAGTAGCCCTGGAGGCTCCAGCATGGCCCAGAGATTAGAGGAAGAGGTGACTAGCTACATGTGAAAAAACAGATAAAGCCAACATGACCACGTTACCAAAGGCATGAAGTAAGAAGTGGCTAGGGGAGTCAGAAACTGTGTTTGCTGTGGCTGTGAGCTCAGACACCAAAGCAGTATCAGAAAAAAAACAGGTAAGAAGGATGCAGAAGCACAAGGTAACACAGAACTAGGAAAAGAAGCAGAAGAAAGTAACACAGGAGCTTTACACTAAACTAATCTCTGTGAAGCTGCCATGTAAGAGGAAATGGAAGTCAATAAAGACAAGGCTTTTTGCAGGTTGGTGCTTTTAAACAGCTTATGGAGAAGGATGCTGTGAGGCATCAAGCTACACCTACTTAGCAGTGCCATGTGACCTGAAGGGCACCACCTCTGCACATTATTCCCAGTAGCACAGCTGGATACACTGCCAGCCACTATCATTTTCTCTATAAAAACCATTCACTGGTAGTTCTATAGATAAGTCCCATGCTTATTGTTTTTCTCCTCTTCCCATCTCTGGGCACTGCACTTTTCCTCTGCATGGTATCAGAGATTCCCACTGGTGAGATGGGATGGGGTCAGTGGGTTGGAAAGGAGAATCTGTACCTTCCTGGCTTTGAGCCAACTGTTTCTGCAGCTCTTGATTGTGGGCACTGAAGTGGTCCCTCTCATCTTGCCTCTTGCTCAGCTCCAGCTCCAAGTCCTGTATCTTCTCCCTAGCATCATTCTGGAAGAGGTAAGAACAGAAGTATCACCACACAGAGCCACTGCTAGCAGGAGACAGAGGTACAAACCCTGAGGCAGAAATAGCCAAGGGCAGGAGGGGGCAGTTGGACAGTAATGGTAGATGTGATGATGATTCTCCCTTCTCCCCATGGCAGCAAGCCAACCTGGCCTAAAAGAACTGACACTCGTGCTGACTTGGGCACTCTGAATGGTCAGTTCAGCCCAGCAGAGGCACAGGATTTCTGGGTGCACTAGACACACGTTACCAGATCTTGCTGGGTCTGCTGCAGGTGCTGTTGCAGGTCTTGCAGGGCTGCTGCCACTCTGTCCACTGTGAGCTCTGCAGGGAGGTCCCAGGCCTGAGAAACAGTCACGCCCTTGCCATCACCCTGTCCTGAAGAGAGAAGCCATTCTGTTTCAGACTTTAACTGAAGGGTCTCCAAGAAACAAGGCCTCTTTGTACACAAAGTGCCTTGGCAGTGCCTTTGACGTTGCCCTGGACTGCGTTATGGCAAGATGTGTGCCACAGGCTAACAATATTCTGTTGACCACTATTGCCACTGCTGCCCCAAGGAAGAATGCACATGCCCTGTGACTTGACATGACTTGGGCCCTATTTCATTTTGATGCTGGTCATTCCTTCACATACCAACACTGTCTCTGTGCAAGGATATCATGCTTTCAAGACTTTCCAAATCCTGAGCCAGCCTAAAGTTGAAAGAATGAGTCTATCATATCAGGATCACAAAGAACCACCTCTCCCTTCACATACCCTCCCATATGTGCTCTAGAGACTTGTTAGCCCACCCTCCCACACTTGCCTGAACTCCAAGTGATAAAGTCTCTGCTGTCACAGATGATGTGGTGGAGAGCCAAGCGTAGGCTTTCTAGCTGGGACTGGGCTTCACTGTGGGCACTGTTGGCCTGCTGGCACTCTGTGGCCAAGGCCTCTGCTCTGCTCTCTGTGTTACAAAGCCTCAGATGCAGTTCAGACACCTCAGCCTCCAGCACGTGCAGAGAGCCCCTCAAATGTTGCTCGCCTGCTCGGGACTCCTCCAGGTCCTGTAGCAGCTGCTCCTCTCGGGCTGCCAGGCCAGCCTCCTTCTCCAGCACTACATCCTGCAGTGACTGCACCTGTAACAGATGCACAGAGCCTCAGGGACAGTGCTCTGACAGGCAGCAGAGCAGGGGTAGAGGATGGAATGAAGGGGAAGTTACCTCAAGCAAAAAGCACACTGGAAACAGAAGGCATATAGCAAAGGATTCAGACTGAGCATGACAAATTAGAAACAGGTATCTGGAGGCTAAGGGGCCAAAAGGAAGTTTCTCCAGCTCCAAAGGAATGGCCAAACTGTCAGGCCTTCATGCTTTACACTCTTGGAGATGAAGCTCTGTCCATGTGTGCACGCATGAGTGGGTGGCTGGCAGCTCAAACGTCCCTGCACAGAGAGTGGGGCTGCCAGGGATGCTGGGGAGTAGGAGTAACAGGAAGACAATCAGCTTCCCTTGTGGTGCATCCCCAAAATACCAGATGGACTAGCTGAAATGGAAGTACCTTCCACAAACTGTGATAACCACTTCTATTTCACCAGACTGCTCAGTGGCTGACAGGCAGAAACACCATTTGGGGGCAACATTTCTAACACAGATACTGAGAAGCTCCAAAGGAGTCTTCTGTTTCTCCTCAGAGATTTAACATTGTGAACCATAAGAGAACAGGGGAAAAAACATAGGCAGAACATAGCAGATCAAGTGATCTCAATGTGCAACGTCTCTGGGCAGAATCCAGAAGGACAGTATGTTGTTGGGAGGGAAAACAAGTTAGGGCCTACAAGCTGAAGGTGGTAATTTATGTTCCTAGAAGAAAGGATGCTAGTGCATAGGTCACCTGGTTGTTGAGCTCTTGTATTTCTCTTCTGTGGTCTGAATGGAGCTGCTGGGCTTGGTGAATAGCAGAAAGAAGCTGAGACATCTCATTGTGCTGGGCAAGGTTGTTTTCTTCCAGGGTTCTGAGGCTCAGTTCCTTCTCTTCCAGAGACAGAGTCAGCCTAAAAGAGAGAACATGAAACTCATTACTACATGGTAAAACATTTATTAAACTCTTAGGACTTCCACCACCAAGGGGAAAATTGCTTTGCCTACTGAGGTTTGTGTAAACAACTAGGCTGCTGTTCAGTCCTAAGCCAGGTTGGCAGTCACACCCAAGCACTGTGCCTACTGTGCTTTTTTCTACAGAAGAAAGGTGAATTACTAGCTAAATACCTTGTCTTTTTTAAGATGGAAATGTGAATATAAACATAACAAAAGCCATGAAATGAAGACATTAGGGAAGAGGAAAACTTTAAATGAACCCCATCATTAACCACATGATTAGTGACACTGAAGCACACACAAGTCTAGGACACAAGGACACTGAGGTGCTGAAGCATATCCAGAGAAGGGCAACTAAGCTGGTGAAGGGTCTAGAGAACAAGTCTTATGATGAGTGGCTGAGGGACCTGAGGTTATAGAAAGGTGGGTGCTGGTCTCTTCTCACAAGGAAGAAGTGATAGGACAAGAGGAAATGGACTCAAGTTGTGCCAGGGGAGGTTTAGGTTGGATATTAGGGAAAATTTCTTCACTGAAAAGGTTGTCAAGTATTGGAACAGGCTTCCACAGGAAGTGGTTGAATCACCATCCCTGGATCTGTTTAAGAGTCATGTAGCTGTGGTGCTTAGGGACATGGTTTAGAAGGAAAGGGACTTGGTAGAGTTAGGTGAATGGTTTGACTTGAAGATCATTTGATGAAAAAGGTCTTTTCCAATCCAAATGATTCTATGGTACTATCCTGCATGAATAGTTCAGAACTCTGCTTTTTAGGTAATGCCACTCATATGCACAGATCTGAAAGAGGGAATCCACTAAACAGAATGGAGAATCTCTCAGGCTTTCCTTTACCTGGCTTTTTCACTCTCTAGAACCTTCAGCAGAGCCTGAAATTCTGCATTCTGACGCTCCACTTCTTCCCATCGACTCCTTTCCCCCTCCAAGGACTGCAGACACACTTGCAGCTCCTTGTTTTGATGTTGTACCTCCTCCCATTGACTCCTCGTCTCCTCTAACATCTTCTGGAGGTGTACAATCTCCAGCACCTTCTGCTTTGACAGCTCCTGTGCCTCACTCAGATCTTGCTGAGCTTTGCAGTCAATCACCTGCTTGGACTCTTCAGAGGCTGCTAGCTGAGATGTCAACTCTTCCACCTGAAGTAAAACATAATAAAGTAGTCAAAGACTACAGCTTGTCACTTCCAGCCTTATCA